TCCAGGGACAGGTGTAAAGATGAAGGATGGGTCTGAGGATGGGTCTAAACGTGAAGAATGGTTCTAAGTACAAAGGAAAAGTCTAAGGATGGGCCTAAGGATGAAGGATGGGTCTAGTGAGGGATCCCAGGATGAGTCCAAGGACAGGTCTAAAGAAGAAGGATGGGTCTAAGGATGGGTCTAAGGATGGGCCCAAGGATGATGGATATGTCTAAGGACAAAGAAAAGGTCTAAATACAGGTCAAAGGATAAAGGATGGGCCAAAGGACAAAGGCCAGGTCTAATGAGGGGTCCAGAGATGAAGGATGGCTTCAAGGAGAGGTCTAAAGATGAAGGCCAGGTCTAAAGATGGGTCCAAGAATGATGGGTGGGCCTAGGTAGAGGTCAAAGGATTAAGGATGGGCCAAAGGACCAAGAACTGGCCAAAGGCCAGGTCTAATGAGGGGTCCAGAGATGAAGGATGGTTTCAAGGAGAGGTCTAAAGATGAAGGCCAGGTCTAAAGAGGGATCCAAGGATGAAGGATGGGCTAAAGGGGAGGCCTAAAGATGAAGGCCAGGTCTAAAGAGGGGTCCAAGGATGAAGGATAGGCTAAAGGGGAGGCCTAAAGATGAAGGCCAGGTCTAAAGAGGGGTGCAAGGATGATGGGTGGGCCTAGGTAGAGGACAAAAGAGAAAAGATGGGCCAAAGGATGGGCCTAAGGGTAAAATCCACCCACTCCTTCCAAGGGTTAACAAGCCCTTAACGAGCTGGACTTCTATTCCCCAGCTAATGGATTTTTGAGACCTCCCATTCCGAGTTTGTTTCTTCCCTGGCTCCTGGCTGATGGATAATCATTAACTACCCATGAGAGACTCCAATGGCCCGTGGAATTCATGAGGTATTAAATGGGCATTATTTTATCAGCCACTCTCAATGTTTTGTTTGGGTTTGAGGACCATTCCTGAGATGTTTATGGGCTGTGGATTTATGGAAGTCAGGGGATCTTTTCAGGAGTAATGTTCCGTACCTCGGAGTTACGGTCGACAGCTGGAGACTCCATGCGGGAAAATTGGAGGCTGGGAGCTCCAAAACAAAAAAATCAGACTTAACCCCTGCCTCAGAAGGTCTTGGCACACAGAAATGATGGATTAAACACCAGGAATAAGATCCAAAACACAACATTCAAAGGAGTTTATGAGCTGTCATCGGGAATCAAGCAGTACAAGGTGGCCTTGCTCGGGAGGGGACCCGGTCGCTGCTGCTGCTGTCACAAATAAATGGTGCTGGTTTATTTTCTGTCTGTGCCAAGGTGGAAAAATCCAGGGGGAGCAGCCTCAGAGAACCCTGAGGGCTCCACTCCATCAATCCCAACCCACAGCTCATAGGGAGAGAGATTTCTCCTCCTGCCAAAGTCACCCCAGAACCCCTTTCACCCCACCCTGAGCTGAGGAGGAGATAAAGGGATTTTGGATAAGTGGCAGGACACAGGGAATGGCTCCCACTGCCAGAGGGCAGGGATGGATGGGATATTGGGAATGAGGAATTGTTCCCTGGCAGGGTGGGCAGGCCCTGGCACAGGTGCCCAGAGCAGCTGGGGCTGCCCCTGGATCCCTGGCAGTGCCCAAGGCCAGGCTGGACATTGGGGCTGGGAGCAGCCTGGGACAGTGGGAGGTGTCCCTGCCATGGCAGGGCTGGCACTGGATGGGCTTTAATGTCCCTTCCATCCCAAACCATTCCATAAATCAGCCTGAGGGACACCAACCTCCCTCCTGGGAGGGTCTCAGAAGGGCCCTTGCAGAGACCAGGCAGGATGGAGTTAAACCTCCACCCCAAATTCACTCCAGGAGATCCCACCCAGCACTTGGGATCCTCAAACTCTTGTCTGTCCATGTCCAGCCCCTCCTTCCATGCTGGAACAGGACACAGGGAACAAAAAGCCCCAATCCAAAGCAACCCAAGGGCCCAGGAGCACAACAAAAACCAGGAGGGGTTGATCAGGGAAGGCTCCAAACCCTCCTCCAGGGATGAGCTCCCTCCTGCAGGAAGCAGAGGACTCGGACTTCAGGAACACTGTAAAAGTGTGGCATTAAAAAAAGTCCATCCTCAAATTCCACAGCCATAAAATAACAATTAGCTGAGAAGAGCCAGAAAATATTTCAATTTTAATCCACTTTTTATCTGTGCCAGGCATTTTCCACCTCATCCAGGCTAATAAACAACTTCCACTCCAGCAGGGCTGTGCTGGAAAAAAAGAGGGAAAAAAGAAGAAGCTGCCTCTTTAATGCACTAATTACAATCCCGAAGCACTAATGGGATTAGCAGGCAGGATTTAGTGGTTGTCTCCTGCAAAATCATTAAGTGCCATTAGAGAAAATGAAGTTCCCTGCTTCTCCAAGAGGTTTGCAGGAATCCGGATCCAACCCGGCGCAGCAGCCCCTGGAGCACAACGGGGCCCTGTCAATATTGGCTCTTCCCTTGATTAATTCCCTAATCAGGAGCTGAATTTGCCCTGCACCACTGGGAAGGGAGCACTGGAGACACTGGGAGAACTGGCTGCAGTCAGGCAAAGGAATCATGGAATGGTTTGGGTGGGAAGGGACCTTAAAGCCCATCCAGTGCCACCCCTGCCATGGCAGGAACACCTCCCACTGTCCCAGGCTGCTCCAAATCCCATCCAACCTGGCCTGGGACATTCCAGGGATCCAGGGGCAGCCTCAGCTTCTCTGGGCACCTTGTGTGGAGAGGGATGAAGGCAGAGGGGACATCACTGTGTGTTTGTGTCACCCTGTGTGGCATTTCCATCTGCATGCCTTTCCCTGTTCCTTCCCTTTGCAGGGAATTCCAGGCACCCCCTCTCCACACTGGGGAATCAGTGACCAGAAGATTCCATGGTGTCCAGCTCCAGGTCAGGGTGACCACGAGTGCTGGAAGGTGTCCCTGCCCTTGGAATGACACGAGCTTTAACTCCTTCCAGCCCAAACCTCCATTCCTGTCATCCCTGCCTGACAGGGACATCTTTCCCAACATCTCCAGCGCTCCCTTCCCGCTGCTGCCCGGCAATTTCAGCTCAGGATCATCAGGGAATACCCAGGGATCAAACAGGGCCAGCTCTGCCCTGGGTGAGACCCTCTCCAGCTGAGGGCAGAGCATGGATCGGGGCTGGAATGCCGAGAATAGCGGGAGGAGGGAGAGGCAGCTCCCAGGAATGCTCCCTGGGGACACGGGGCTGCTCCTGGGGACCCAACAAAGCCAACACTTCTCCAGTGCCTGAGCATGAGGGTGGCCTTCCAGGAGGCATTTCCAGCTGAAATGGCTTTGTTCCCAAAAGCTAAAAGCCCTGAGAGAACAAAAATTCCCAGCTCAGGGGAAAAGGAGGGTGGATGCTCACCCTCACCCCTGCACAATGACGGCTGCCACAGCCCGGGGGACAAGTGACACCGCCACGCTGAGGCCACCAGACACATCTGCCACCCCCAAACCTGCCCTGGTTCCCTCTGCCCAACAAGGGCAGCTCCAGGTCAGGAGCTGGGAGCACCTCAGTGGATTTAACCCTTCCTGTACCCCAGTTGGAGCTGCCCAAACACCACGGACAGGCCGGAGGGGCTGTGCTGTGCCAAAGCTTCCATGCTCCCTCCACAGCCCTCAGAGGACTCTTCCCAAGATTCTGGCACGGCTTTTTTATCCCCAAGAACTCCGAATCTGGGGACAAAAGGAGCAGCTTGTCCTGGGATCCTGCTTTGGACCAGCTCCATCCCCAAACGCCCTCAGGGAGAGGCGGTGATGTCCCAAAGGGGCCACGAGTTCCCTCTGCCACCCCGTGCCATGGCAGGAGGAAGGTTTTCCGAGCAGGGCCACGGAAAGGGAAGGAAAGGGATAGGGAGGGAATGTAGGGATGCCAGGGAATCCTTTCCCTGCACAGCAGCAGCCTCTGCCGGCAGCGGAGCCGCAGAGCAGGAGCCGCGGGATGCGGCAGATTCTGGATGGAAAAGATCCCGGGGGATCTCCAGAACACAAACTCCTCTCCATGAGGATTTATAAATCCATATATCCACTTTCCAGCTGGAAGGTGATTATTCCCATCTCTCTCCGGCGTGCACTCACTCCCCCATGCAGCTCTCACAGCCATTCCCGTGCAGCAGCTGGAAAACCCAACCCTCCCATCCCACATTCCAGCACGGCCAGCAGCAATCCTGGAGCCCCTGGGTGCTCCCCATCCACCCCAAAATGAGATGAGATCCTAGGGGAGCAGAACCCCATCCCACAACCTCCCAGCTCCCCATCCACCCCAAAATGAGATCCTGGGGGAGCAGAACCCCATCCCACAACCTCCCAGCTCCCCATCCACCCCAAAATGAGATCCTGGGGGAGCAGAACTGACACCATCCCACAACACCCCCGCTGCAAGGAGCTGCAAAAAGGAATTTCCATACAAAACCTCCAAACTAGACACATTATTTAGAGATAAAAATCCTTTTCCCAAGGCGCTGGGATGAGGTTTACCCCTCTCAACACACACCCGGGGCACCACTTACTTGGGGGTGTGCACCTCATCCACCCCAAAATGAGATGCTGGGGGAGCAGAACCCCATCCCACAACATCCCCAGTGCAAGGAGCTGCAAAAAGGAATTTCCACACAAAACCTCCAAACTAGACGCATTATTTAGGGATAAAAGTCCTTTTCCCAAGGCGCTGGGATGAGGTTTTCCCCTCCCAACACACACCAGCACCCGGGGCACCACTTACTTGGGGTGTGCACCTCATCCACCCCAAAATGAGATCCTGGGGGAGCAGAACCCCATCCCACAACTTCCTAGCTCCCCATCCACCCCAAAATGAGATCCTGGGGGAGCAGAACCAACACCATCCCACAACACCCCCGCTGCAAGGAGCTGCAAAAAGGAATTTCCACACAAAACCTCCAAACTAGATGCATTATTTAGGGATAAAAGTCCTTTTCCCAAGGCGCTGGGATGAGGTTTTCCCCTCCCAACACGCAGCAGCACCCGGGGCACCACTTACTTGGGGGTGTGCGCCTCATCCACGCGGTGCCCCAGCTGGAACTCGTGGGATTTGCTGCGGTGCAGCGCCGTGAATCCCGGGATGAGGTGGATCAGCTTCCTCGACGAGGGCGGGGGCGTCCCGGGGGGCTTCAGTTTGTTCCTGCGGCGCACGGGGGGGGTCCCCGGCGGGGTCATGGTGGTGACGATGTTGGGGGTGCGCGGGGGGGTGTGCGCGGCGTGGCGCTGCCTTGGCGACGGCGGCAGCGAGCGGTGCCCGGACTCCAGCGGTGGGCACAGCCCCGGGTGGCCCTCCACGGTCAGGCGGTCCACGTGCGTGTACATGGGGCCGTGGGACGAGCTGGCGTGGCAGTGGTGCTGCCCGCATTTGGGTGGTACCTTGGGGCTCGGGTGCGTCCTGCCCCAGGGCCCCGGCTCCGCGCTGGGGCAGCCGGGGCTGTTCTCCTTGCCCGGCTCCGTGCTCGGCCACTGGATGGTCCAGTCCTGCTTGGAGAGGCTCCCGCCTGGAGAGGGCACAGAGACACGGCCGTGAGGTGCGGCAGAGGGTGGGGATTTGTCGCAGACATCTTTTCGTGAAAAAGCCTTTCTTTAGGATTTTTCCTCCCGAGAAGATGAGAGGCCTCAGGAATGAAATGTAAGCAATGGTTATCTGCTGCTGTGGAATGCAACAGGTGCATCTGGGATTGGCCCATCTTGGTTTGTTTGTAATTCATGGCCAATCACAGTCAGCTGGCTCGGACAGAGAGTCCAAGACAGACGCTTTTGTTATCATTCTTTGCTTTCTATTCTTAGCTGGCCTTCTGATGAGGTCTTTTTCTTCTATTCTTTTAGTATAGTTTTAATGTAATATATATCATAAAACAATAAATCAAGCCTTCTGCAACATGGAGTCAGATCCTCGTCTCTTCCCTCAACATAAGACCCCTGTGAGCACGGTCACAGGGATTCTCTGATCAGCCCTGCAGGGGTTAAAGGTCCCATCCCTGGGAGGGTTTATGGGGTGGATGGGGCTGGGAGCAGCCTGGTTGAGTGGAAGGTGTCCTTGCCTATGGACTGGGATGATCCTAAAGGTTCCTTCCAACCCAGCTGTTCCATGATTGATTCAATGCTGGCACTGCATCCCAGCAGGAAGCTTCTCTGTGTTACAGAATCTTGGAATGGTTTGGGTGGGAAGGAACATTAAATCCCACCCAGTGCCACCCCTGCCATGGCAGGGACACCTCCCACCATCCCAGGCTGCTCCCAGCCCCAATGTCCACCCTGGCCTTCGGCACTGCCAGGGATCCAGGGGCAGCCCCAGCTGCTCTGGGCACCTGTGCCAGGGCCTGCCCACCCTGCCAGGGAACAATTCCTAATTCCCAATATCCCATCCATCCCTGCCCTCTGGCAGTGGGAGCCATTCCCTGTGTCCTGTCCCTCCATCCCTTGTCCCAGTCCCTCTCCAGCTCTCCTGGAGCCCCTTCAGGCCCTGCAAGGGGCTCTGAGGTGTCCCTGGAGCCTTCTCCTCTCCAGGTGAGCACCCCCAGCTCTCCCAGCCTGGCTCCAGAGCAGAGGGATGGGTGGCCTGAAAACCACAGAGATTCCCACAGGACCATCCAGTGCCACCCCTGCCATGGCAGGGACACTTCCCACTGTCCCAGGCTGCTCTAAGTCCTGTCCAACCTGGCCTTGGGCATTCCAGGGATGCAGGGGCAGCCAGAGCTGCTCTGGAGATCCCACTGTGGAGCCTCACCCCTCCAAGAGAGGAATTTCCAGGGGTGGAGGTGTCCCCACGTGTCCCCACCATCACCAGCTCCTGCTGCCACCCCCAATGGTGGCACTGGGATGGTGACACCCCAGGCTGATGCTCCATCTCACTCCCATAATGAGGGGGCTGTAATGAACAGAGGCCCCTCTCCACTCCTAATTATCCATCACCACCAGGAGCCAAGCAGCACCTTTGGAGCATCCCAGGGATGATCCAGGAGGAATTTGGTCCTCAATCCCAGCTCAAGGCCCCTCGACTGAGGCCTTTTGATTGTCCCCACCAAGGAAAACCCAAATCTCCTCATTTTCCAAATCTCCTCCTTCCCCTCCCTGGCTGCGTTGGGAATTGGATCCTCTCCCCTTGCTCCAGGCTTTTCATGGGAATGTTCCACTTCAAGCTCCAGGGAAAAAGGAGAGGCTTGGGAAAGGAAAGGTTTGGGTTGAAAAAAAGCTTTTAGTCAAGGGGTGGAGGATGGGGCATGAGGAGTTTGCTGGAGTCATTTTCTCAGAGCACAACATCAAAATAACTGATAAAAAAGGCCAAAATAATTGTAAAATATGAAAAAATGAACAGGAAAAAATTCCCAAATAACTATAAAGTATGTTTAAAATAACAATAAACAATTTCTAAATAATTGTGAAATATTAAAACATGTATAAACAGAAGAATAAAAATTAAAATAATATTTAAAATCTTTACAATTAAAATGAATTAATTAGAATGAATTAAAAATTAAAGTAAAGCAAGTATTAATTAAACTTTTAGAAATTAAAATAAATTAATCAGAATAAAATATAATTAAAACAATAATTAAAAGGTTTAAAATTAAAATTAACTGAAAATAAAAGTACATCAGAATAAATAAAGTAAAAAACATAAGTAAAAATTCTAAAAAATAAAAAATTAATTAGAATGACTAAGAAGTACAAGAAATGAAAAGTAAGAAGTAAAAATGCTGTAAGATAAAATTAATTCGATCAAATAAGAAATTAAAAGAAATAAAAACTATCAATGCTTAAAAATAAAATAACTCATTAGAACGATGAATAAATAAAAATAAATTAAAATAAAAATAAGAATAGTAAAAATATTTGCAAAAAAGAAATTTGAAAAGTATCCGCTATGCAAATCACCGCGCGCCTATGCAAATCCTGCTCTTCCCATTGGCCGCTTCCCTCGCCTTGATTTGCATAACGCCGAGCCGGCCCGGCGCTAATTAGTGGCGTTAATGAAGATGGGGCGAGGATGTCCCTGCACCCCCTGGGAATAAAATCCACCCCCGGTCCGGGCTGAAAATATCCGGGAAAAGGCGGGAGAACGTAATTCCAGAGGGGAAGGCGGCAGGCAGCGAGATGGGATCAGCTTAAACCGGGAATGCGCTTAAGAGAGGAAAAAACAACAAAAATATCCCAAAGCTCCTCCGGCTCCAAAGCCTGTTAGGGGCGGGAGGATCCCGCTCCCTCCCGGCGCTCCCCGCTGCTGCTGCTGCTGCTGCTGCTCCGATTCCCGGCTGGAAATGCACGGGGAGAGATGGGAGGGAAGGAAAGTCCCCTGTGTCCCGTTTGTTCCCTGATTGCTCCTCAAAACTTCGTTGTTTTTTTTAGATTCCAAGTATTATATATTATATTATGTTATTTCATATTAAATTTAATATATATTATTTATTAATTATTATATAGTCTAATATACAGTATTTCTTTAATATATTATATATATTAAATATATATGTATTAAGTATATATTTATTTATTTACGTATGTATATATACATATTTAATATATATTAAGTATACATATATATTAAATATATTATATGTATTAAATATACAGTATTTCTTTAGTATATTATATATATTAACGATTTCTTTCTATATTATTTCTATATATATTTTATATATTTATTTCTATATTTATATATTAAGAATATATGTAATATAATTATATTTATTATATGTATTATATAATTATATATGAATACATATGTTATATATGATATATTATATATTATGTATAATATTATTTAATATATATTATACTTTATAATATAATATAAGAGAATAGATAAGATAGAAAAGATTATATAATATATGTTATTATATATATTATAATTATATTATATATACATTATATATTTATATATATTATATATAATATTTATATATAAATATAATATATATATAATATATATGTGTATATATTATATATATACATATATATTATTATATATGTATATGTATATGTAATTATATATACATATAATATATATATAATATATATTATTATATATATATTATATATGTATATATTATATGTATATATAATTAGATTATATGTAATAGATAATATAATATATATTTTATTATATAATTTTATCTATTATAATATAATCATATTTATTCAATAAAAATTATGTTCTTTTTTTGATATGAGCCACAGCCACCTCCCAATCCCACGGGACACTTCTCCTGTCCCTGTGGATGCTCCCTTGGGGTGAATTTGGCTTCAAATCCCCTCGGATCCAACCCATTTCATCAGGGAAACTTTTCCCAAACTTCTCCATTAAAAACCAACAGGAAAACAAACTCCTGGGAAGAGGAGGCAGCGCTGGGATGCAGCTCATGGATCCAGAGATGGAAAAATCCCACCTGTCCCAAACCACAAAAAGCAAGGTTTGCTTTGTTTTCCTACAAAGAAAGGCTGGGAACAATTCCCACGGGAGCTGGGGCAAGGCAGCCCAGCTGCTCCTGGGGATGCTCCCAGTGCTCCTGCCCTTCCCAAAAGCTGCTCCAAACTGGAGATTTTGGGATGCCCAGGGTGTTTTGGGAACCAGCACACACATGCCAGGATAGCAGCCTCTGGAATGGACTCTGGAATCCCCAGCTTGGCAGCACTGGGATATCAGGAAGGTCAACTCTTCCCTCCTGTCCATCACACCAGCACAGCTCCCAAATTCCCTCCAATTCCCTTCAAACTGGGATTTTCCTGCTTTTCCCTCACTGCTCCCGACCCTGTCTGACCCCACGCTGTCCCCAAGCCACCCTCAGCCTTCCCAGGGCTCATCAAGATCCCATTCCAGCTCATTTTTCCCTGTAGGACACTTAAAAACCTGCACACATCCCCCAGCAGTCACAGCCCATCAACTCCTGCAGCCACAGCTCCTGGAGGATTTAATATTCAATTAATCCCGCCCCGAGATCAAACCCCAAAACAAAACCCCAAGGATCCCAGGAAAACCCAATCTTTGTTAACCCCACAAAGTAGGGGGGTGAGCGTGGATGTGCCACGCTCTAATTTATGGGATGCTCTGGGGTGTCACTGTGGTATTTTATAAAAAATCCCTTTGCCAGGATTTCTTCTCCTGGGAAGCTGGGAAGCTTCAGCTTCTCCGTGTTTTGGTGCTTTGGAATGTGATTTGGAGAATTGTTTACCCTGCATGTGAATTGTTTTTAATTAATGCCCAATCACCATCAGCTGTGTCAGACTCTGAGTCTGTCACGGGTTCTTATTATTGATTCTTGTCCAGCCTTCGGATGTCTCCTTTCTTTTTCTTTAGTAGAGTTTTAGTATATAATTTATTTTAATATAATATCATAATATCATAAATCAACCTTCTGAGAACTTGGAATCAAATTCTCATCTCTCACCTCATCCTGGGGACCCTCACAACACCACAACACCGGGGTTTTCCCTGCTGGCCCCAGGATGCTCAGCTTGGGAAGTGCCTCCTTTTCCAAGCCCATTCCGGCCAAATCCATCTCCATGAAACAGCCTCCAGCTCCCTGCCCAGGCAGGGGCGGCCTGGGAAATTAGAGGCTTCTAATTAATGACTCAATAAATAAAGATGGATGGGAAAGGTTAATCCTGAACCTCATTCCTGCTTTATGAATACAAATCTTGGCGACTCGGAATCAGCCGCTGCAGCTCCTGCCAAGGAATTCCAGCTTTTAAGGATGTAACTTGTTCATTAATTACATTTTTGGGATGAGAACAGTGTATTGATTCACAAGGAGATAAAATGCTGCTAAAATACAGATTAAAAGGTGTTTCTGAGACAGTTGGTGCATTTGGGGCTCCTTTGGTGGCGGCTGTTATATCCCAAGGGATCTAAAATCCCAACACTGCATCCAAAAAGCATCGCTGCCATCCCAGGATGCTTTTCTATCCCCATCCTAAAGATTCCCAGACAGGTCCTCAGGGCTGGTATCTCACTGTCATGGAGCCATGGAGCCAGCCAGCAGCTCCAAATCCCTGGAATCCAGAGGATGGATGGATGGATGGATGGATGGATGGATGGATGGATGGATGGATGGATGGATGATGGGTGGATGGATGGATGGATGGATGATGGATGGGTGGATGGATGGATGATGGATGGATGGATGATGGATGATGGATGGATGATGGATGGATGGATGGATGGATGGATGGGTGGATGGATGGATGATGGATGGATGGATGATGGATGGATGGATGGATGATGGATGGATGGATGGATGATTGATGGATGGATGATGGATGGATGGATGGATGATGGATGGGTGGATGGATGGATGATGGATGGATGGATGATGGATGATGGATGGATGATGGATGGATGGATGGATGGATGATGGATGATGGATGGATGATGGATGATGGATGGATGATGGATGGATGGATGGATGGATGATGGATGGGTGGATGGATGGATGATGGATGGATGGATGGATGATGGATGATGGATGGATGATGGATGATGGATGGATGATGGATGGATGGATGGATGGATGGATGATGGATGGATGGATGGATGATGGATGGATGGATGGATGGATGGATGGATGGATGGATGATGGATGGGTGGATGGATGGATGATGGATGGATGGATGATGGATGATGGATGGATGATGGATGGATGGATGGATGGATGGATGGATGGATGATGGATGGATGGATGGATGATGGATGATGGATGGATGATGGATGATGGATGGATGATGGATGGATGGATGGATGATTGATGGATGGATGATGGATGGATGGATGATGGATGGATGGATGGATGGATGGATGGATGGATGGATGGATGGATGGATGATGGGTGGATGGATGGATGGATGGATGGATGGATGGATGGATGGATGGATGGATGGATGATGGATGGATGATGGATGGATGATGGATGGATGATGGATGGATGGATGGATGGATGGATGGATGGATGGATGGATGGATGGATGATGGATGGATGGATGGATAAAAGCAGCACAGCACCCTCTAAGTGCACCCCAAAGCCACAACTCCATCACTTCTCAGTCCCCAGCAGCCCAGGGGGACATTCCCAAGGTCCCAGCAGTGCTGCTCTGCCCATCCCAATCCCACATCCCACCAAAACACACTGCCTGGACCATAGGGAGTCTGGAGCAGGGTGGGATGATCAGCTCCCAGTGCCCCCCCTCACCCCAAGGCACCCAGGGAGCATCCTGCCCTTCCCTGGCCAGAAATCCCACTGTTCCCAACTCCCTGCTGGCAGGAGAGGGGCAGGGACTCTGCTCCTGCTCTCCCAGGGGGTGAAAAGAGGGTGAATTCCTGGGATGGAGCTGTTTGCTTGGTAGAGGCAGGGAACAGGGAGCCCATCTGGCATCACAGGGGGAGCTTCCCACACCCAAATCCTCAAGAAATTCAGGGAGATTTGGTCTCCTCCACTGCCTGGGAGCTCCTGCACCCCTCAGGTCACCTCCCTGTCCCCAAGGTTGTGTCATCCATGGGACAATGCATCTCCAGGAGGGCACGGACCCACAGCAGCTGGCATTTCCAAGGATCCAGATCCAGCTCTGGCAGAGCAGGAGTGGCCACAGCAGCATCCCAGCAGTGCCAAAGGGACAGAGCAGGCAGAGCAGTGGGTGATGGATGGAGTTAAATGGGAAACACAAACACTCCCTGCCTGGCTGGCTCTCCCTGCTGGGATCCAATGGACCACCAGGAATGCTGGCAGCCCCATCAGCTGCCCCATTAGGGAACAAATGGAGCAGCAGCATCCCACAGACCTCTGGTACTTCCATCTCCTCCTCCTTCCATCTCCTCCTCCTTCCATCTCCTCCAGCTGGAAAACTCCAGAGGAACCAGAGAAACTTCCTGCAGCTGCCCAGCCAAAGGCCAAGGTGGATTTTCCAAAGCAGGGAATTCCCTGGGCCGAGAGGGCAGAGGAGAGAGTGGGATTTGTGTGGAGCAGCCTTTAAAAGTCAGAGGTGTTTGAACAAAGAGCAGCTGAGAGCCTTCCCCAGGCTCCCAGGGAGGCACCACCGCCCTTGCTCAAATAGCAGGGAGACCTGATGGAAATGCCGAGGGGAAGAGAGGCAGGAGCTGGGTTTAGGGAGCTGGAGAGGGGGGATGATCCCTAGGGAATGGCAGGCTGGGCTCAAACAGCCCCACCTCGCCCCAGTGCCACTGTCCCCAGCACAGGGTGGCACTGCCACTCTGTGCCACGTGGGAGAGGATCCAACAACCAGAACTGGTGGATGAGGCCAAAGTCTCTCCAGGCTGGAGCTGGAATCCCTCTCTGGGACATTCTGTGCTCTGGGGACACTGCTGGGCCCCAAAGCTGCCCCTCCTTGAAACCATGTCCCCTGCTGTCCCCAAGGGCTGCTCCACACCTGCAATGCCCAACAGGGCTCATTCCCAGCCTCCCAAACCCTGGGGTGCAGCTGCATTGGAGGAACCTCTCTAGAGGGGACAGGAGCCAGGCAGAGGAGTCTGGGGTCCCCAAATCATGGGGGTCTGGGGTCCCCAAATCACGGGGGTTTGCTGCTACCCCAGAGTCACCCCCTGTGCTGGCAGTGGCCTTCCTGAGCTGGCACCACAGCACCAGTTCTGTGCTGCCATCCATGGGGATGGGCTGTGCCAGAGGGGCTGGAGCGTGGCCAGGCCAGGGAACGGAGCTGGGAAGGGGCTGGAGCCCCAGGAGAGGCTGAGGGAGCTGGGAAGGGGCTCAGCCTGGAGCAAAGGAGCCTCAGGGGGGCCCTTGTGGCTCTGCACAGCTCCTGCCAGGAGGGGACAGCCGGGGGGGTCGGGCTGTGCTCCAGGGAACAGGGACAGGAGCAGAGGGAACGGCCTCAGGCTGGGCCAGGGCAGGGGCAGGGTGGATTTTGGGTAAATTCCTCCTGGAAAGGGTGTCAGGCACTGGCACAGCTGCCCAGGGCAGTGCTGGAGTCCCCATCCCTGCAGGGATTGAACAGCCATGTGGATGTGGCACTTGGGGACATGGGGCAGTGCTGGCCTTGGCAGTGCTGGGGATTGGCTGGACTCGCTCCTAAAGGATCTTTTCCAACCCAAAAGGTTCTGCTGTGACCCATCAGGGCTCGGATGGGACCCGGTGCCAGCACAGCCGGACCCTGCCCAGCCCAGGCCGCATCTCCCGAGCCTCGGCCCCGCTCTGCCCCCGGTACCGGCGCGGCTGCAGCCGGAGCGGCTCCGGCAGCGACTGAAGAGCGGAGCTCTGCTGCCACCGCCCGGGGAGCAGCAACGCCGCCCGCACCGCACAACGCCGGGAACCGCGCATCCAGCGCCGGGAACCGCGCATCCAGCGCCGGGAAGGGCGGGCGGGGCTGGGCATTCCCTGGGAAGGGGTCTGGGAATGGGGGCTCCGCTCCGAGCCAGCCGGAGGCGATGCTGGAGCTGCCCTGAGCTTTCCCCTGAGGCTCCTGACTGAGCTCCTGCAGGCAAGGGGGGTCAGGGGACCCTGTAAATCATGGAATGGGCTGGATTTGGAGGGGCCCTCATCCAGTGCCACCCCTGCCATGGCAGGGTCACCTCCCACTGTCCCAGGCTGCTCCCAGCCCCAGTGTCCAGCCTGGCCTTGGGCACTGCCAGGGATCCAGGGGCAGCCTCAGCTGCTCTGGGCACCTGTGCCAGGGCCTGCCCACCCTGCCAGGGAACAATTCCTGATTCCCAATGTCCCATCCATCCCTGCCCTCTGGCAGTGGGAGCCATTCCCTGGGTCCTGTCCCTCCATCCCTTGTCCCCAGTCCCTCTCCAGCTCTCCTGGAGCCCCTTTAGGCCCTGCAAGGGGCTCTGAGGTGTCCCTGGAGCCTTCTCCTCTCCAGGTGAGCACCCCCAGCTCTCCCAGCCTGGCTCCAGCCCTTGGGGCATCTCCATGGCCTCCTCTGGGCTCACTCCAGCAGCTCCTGGAGTGGATTATCACCAGGGACAATCCCTCCTGATGTTGGGAACGCCATGCCCAGGGCCAGCTCTGCAGGTGGGGTCTCACCTGAGCAGGGCAGAGGGGCAGAATCCCCCCCTCCTTTCCCTCCTTTCCTGCTGCCCCTGCTGGGGGCTCAGCCCAGGGCAGGGGGGTTTGGGGTCCCAGCTCTCACCCACCAGCACCCCCAAATCCTTTTCCCAGCACAGCTCCCAAATGTTCCCTGCAGGAAATGATTCCCAGCCAGCCCCAGGGGTGCAGCAGCTCTGCCTGCATTGAAGCCACACTCCTGGTGCCATCAGAGCAGGATGGGGACACCCAGCCCGGGCAGGCTGGGGGGACAGGGGACACTCACCGGACTTGTGGACGCTGCGGAGGCAGGACAGGGACGCGTTCAGCCGGGCACACTCCTCACTGTTGGCCCCAAACTTCTCCACGGTGGCACAGACCTGGTCATCGGTCATGTCCAGCAGATCCTCCAGGCTGAGCTGCCCTGGGGCGATCTCCTGAGGGAGGAATGGGGCAGGAATGAGGGAGGAGGAGCAAAACCCCCCTGGAGCATCCTCTGCACCTCGGGGAGCACCAGGGACAATCCATTCTCTTCAGGCCATGGACCCAAAGCCCTCCATTTCCCACCTGAATCTCCAAGAAAACCTGGAGGAACTGAGGTTTTATCTCCAGTTCTTCTACAGTTTTAGGTAAATCCAGACCCAGCTCAGCCTCTGGGAGCACCAGAAAAATCCATCCCTGAGTAGGAACATGCAGCACCTGAGCTTCACTCCAGAATTCCTTTTCCCTGGAGGTGGGATTGCCTTTGGGTGCCACCCTCTCAGTGCACCTGCAGGAGCCCAGGATGTGGCAGGAGGACACTGATGGGGACATGGGGCATGTCCCCAGTGCAGAGGGGACCGTGTGATACGCACTGGGGACAGCAATGGGGTGTCCTTAAAAAGGGGGGAAGGGAAGGGGAAGGGGAAGGGGAAGGGGAAGGGGAAGGGGAAGGGGAAGGGGAAGGGGAAGGGGAAAGGAAAGGAAAGGAAAGGAAAGGAAAGGAAAGGAAAGGAAAGGAAAGGAAAGGAAAGGAAAGGAAAGGAAAGGAAAGGAAAGGAAAGGAAAGGCTCCCTCTTTTTTCCCTTGGCCAGCCCTTACCTCCATCACCTCCTTGCGGATGTCGACGATGCGGAACCAGTGCAGGAGCTGGGGGAAGCCCTCCAGTTTGGCATTGCGCTCCTGCAGGGCCACCTTCCTCTTGCAGGACAGCTGCCGGCTGAAATACTTCACCAGTTTGCTCTGGAAAAGAAGGGGAAACCCTCATGGGATCCCCCACTGGCACCCGGGGCTCAGCTCTCACTCTGCCTCATCCCAAGGCCCCAAAACACTCCTGCAGCCAAGGGCAGCACTCAAGAGCATCGAGGTTTGGTGTCCAAGAGGGAATTTCCCCCTTAAAAAATCCCTTTATCAGCTCCTTCATCCCCAGGCCAGTGCTGGGGTCTCATTCAGGGGGTGGGCACCCCTTGGCACCCCCTGTGGGGTGTGGGGGGCACAGGGGGCACTGGCACCACTTTTCCCACAAACGCTGTCCCATCCCAGTGGTGCCCAGCCACCCACAGGACACTTTTCCCATTTCTACTCCTGGCCTCAGGGCCAAGAGAGCCCTAAAGGACACAGACTCCTCTCTTACACCCGGGTTTGATGCCAAGAACACCCCAAACATCCTTCAAAAGCCACACTCCCCTCTTTTACCCCCCACCAAAACCCTACAAGGGGAGCAGCCTCAGCATCATATCCCAAGGCTGGAATGTGGCATTTTCTCCTCATTCCCCCCTCACCAACCAAATCTTCCTCTCTCCAGAGCCATCCCCCCTCTCTGCTCCTTTGCAGCCCCATCCCTGCTCGGATCACCCCCCAAAATCCCCCAAATCCTCCCACCCCGAGGCTGGAGCTGTTCCCAGCCACAGCCCAGCTCCCAAAATGAAGCTGCCCTCCTTTCCTGGGAATTCAGAGCAGGGCTGGGAAGCTGCTGGGATTTCCTGCTCCTGCTTTTCCAGCTGGGTGATTCCCCATTGCCTGCAGCACTAGATGGTGCTGAGCCTCTGCTCCTGCACACCCCAAAAACAGCCTGGTGGAATATGGGCTGCTTTGGGGTACAGGGGTGAGGGGAGAACCCCCTGGTGGGATTTGGGAGCTTTCCCATCTTTCCCTGCCCTTTCCTGGAAATTAAATTTCCTCCATTCCCCCCACTCTTTCCCCATTCCCAGCTCACCTCTCCATGATGGCTGTGGGGGCTGCCCTGTCCCCAGCCCCATTCCCACCCCAGGACCCTGATTTTGGCACTGGTGACGCTCAGAAATCACCTTTATTCCCTTTGGGATCCCACCTGGAGAGGCTGAATGAAGAACAGGCTGGGGCAGGATGTGGATTTTTTAGGAATTTCTTTTCCTGGTGTTTTGTGTCCATGCAAGGGCATTTTCTGGGAGACAGGAGCCACCTCTGGGTGTGTTCAAAGTACCTGGGGCTGCTTCAGCTCCAAAAGCCTGGAGTGTGTTTGGGGTGTGAGATCCGGGCTGATCCTTAAACCTTTAATTGTCTGTTTTGGGAATGTTTTTCCTTAAAAATCAGCCCTGGAAGTGGGGCAGGGTTCTGCAGAGCTGAGGGCTCCCTGCAGCCCCCCAGGTCCGGCTTTGCCTCATGTTTGGGGGTTGATTTTCAGGAATTAATCAGAGGTTGTGACCACCCCCAAAATCACCCTCAGGTGGGTGAGGGCCCTGCCAGGGTTGTCACCCCCTGGCAGCTTCTCCCCATCCTCAGCCTGGCTACCAGAGATTAATTCCTGAAAATCAACCCCCAAACATGAGGCAAAGCCGGACCTGGGGGGCTGCAGGGAGCCCTCAGCTCTGCAGAACCCTGCCCCACTTCCAGGAAAAACATTCCCAAACCAGACAATCAAAGGTTTAAGGATCAGCCCGGATCTCACACCCCAAACACACTCCAGGCTTTTAGAGCTGAAGCAGTCCCAGGTGCTTTGAACACACCCAGAGGCAGCTCCTGTCTCCCAGAAAATGCCCTTGCATGGACACAAAACACCAGGAAAAGAAATTCCTAAAAAATCCACATCCTGCCCCATCCTTCTCCATTCAGCCTCTCCAGGTGGGATCCCAAAGGGAATAAAGGTGATTTCTGAGCGTCACCAGTGCCAAAATCAGGGTCCTGGGGTGGGAATGGGGCTGGGGACAGGGCAGCCCCCACAACCATCATGGAGAGGTGAGCTGGGAATGGGGAAAGAGTGGGGGGAATGGAGGAAATTTAATTTCCAGGTCGGGGAAACTCACTCCCACGGAGCCCTTGAGTGACAGGAGGGGTCATTTTTAACCCAAAAGGGGACCCCGCTGGGACCCCCAGGTGCTCTGCTCCGTGGATTTGCTCCAGCCAAGGAAAAAGAAGCCCAAAAACCCCTCTGTAAAATCCAGAGGCTCTCGGTGTTTGCTGGGGATGGAAAGGGGAGGGAATTCCCTGCAGAGCTGCTCTGCCTCCCGCTCATCCCGGCACGGAGCAAATTTGGGAAATGCCGCGTTCCTGCTGTGGCACAGCCTCCTCCGTGCCTCAGTTTCCCTGCCTGGAAGCGGGCAGGGGGCACAAGGAGAGGGGCGGGAATCCCGCGGATCCCTCCCTTCCTGCTGGTGGAATTTGCTGCTGGTCCAGCTGCGGATGCTGCATTTTCCTGTGGAGCTGGGGTTGTTTTCCCACCTTCCCAGCGCCTTTCCCTGCCGCAGCCCTGCCCGGGGGAAAGGCAGGAGCGGTGCTCTGGGCTGAAGGAGTGAAACCACCAGGATTCCCCTCTCTTTGGAGCATCCAGCAGCTCCTGGAACCCCGCAGCTCCTTGGAAACAGCGTCCCTGCCGCCCCGGGGGCGGAGGAGCGATGTCCCCGCTCCATGTCACGCCGCAGGACCTCGGGTGACCCCGGCCAGGAGAGGGGCCGGGATCACCCAGGGCTGGAGCCGGATTTCCCAATTCCCCGAGCGGAAATTTCCCTGGGCTCATCCCAAAGGCAGCACGGCCGAGAGCGGCCGCTGCCCCCGGCCCCGGCAGGTTCCGAGCCGGTCTCCAAGGAGCCAAAGGGCGGCTGTTCCCCCCTGGAATGGGATCCTTGACGTCAGCCGGGATGGAGACAGCACCAGCCCTGCCTGGGGACCGGGACAGGCGCTGGAAAATCCAGGAGGGGGAAGTTCATTCATTCATCTGGCAGCCGTGGGGAATGCCCATCCCATCCCATCCCATCCCATCCCATCCCATCCCATCCCATCCCATCCCACCCCAGCTGGATCAGCACATCCTTCATGCCACCTCTCACTTCACGTCTTCTGCACCCCTAAAAATCCTTTTCCATGACAAGAAACACAACCAGTGCAGCTCCCTCCAAGGGGCTCGTTATTCCAGAGGCACCTGGAGCAGCCTGGGGCTGGGGAATTCCTTGCCACGGTTCCATTTTCTCTCTCAGGGGCTCTCCCAAGGTCCTGTTGGGCTTGTGAGATGTTTCTGCCTCTGCTCATCCTTTATTTCAGGAGATGCTAAATGGTCCCTGGGGATTTTGCTGGGAATACAGGAGCCAAAATGTCTCCATCCAGCATCCAGGGAGGATCCAGCTCTGGGAAAAGTGCACTGTGCTCCCCCATGGTATGAGACAGCAGAGAATCCACACGTTCAGGCAGTGAAAATCACAAAATCATGGAATGGTTTGGGTTGGAAGGAGCTTAAAGCTCATCCAGTTCCACCCCATGGGCAGGGACACCTTCCACTATCCCAGGTTGCTCCATGCCCCATCCAACCTGGCCTTGGACACTTCCAGGAATCCAGGGGCAGCCCCAGCTGCTCTGGGCCAATCCCAGTGCTGGAACAGCATCTCCAGAGCCTGTGGAGGTTTGGGAATGGCCACAGCTCTTTCCTCAGAGCCTCTTCCCATCCTCACCACACAACAGCCAAAAGTATCCTGGGAGAGTTCCCTGTTCCTGGCAGGAGCAGGGCAGCCCAGGGAGAGGGAAGTGTTGATCCTGGAGCCATCCACCAGTTCCTGGGAGCTCTGACCCTCATTTTGGCACAGGGATGGGGTTTAACCCCACAGACAGAACAGTGCTGTGGGACAGTTGGGAATATTGCCCAGCTCCGAGCAAATTTTCCTTCTGCTGTTCCCAAACTCCACCAAACACAGCACCCCCTATCCATATTTACACCCCAAACTCCACCAAACACAGCACCCCCTATCCATATTTACACCCCAAACCCCACCAAACACAGCACCCCCTATCCATAGTTACACCCCAAACTCCACCGAACACAGCACCCCCTGTCCATATTTACACCCCAAACCCCACCAAACACAGCACCCCCTATCCATAGTTACACCCCCAACCCCAAATTTAGAGCCATAAAGCTCAAGTGCCACACTTGGACAGGGATAAAACCCCACAGCCCGGGCAGGTCTGAGGGAGAATAAACACTCAGCTCCTTCTGGATGCTGCCCCATAGGAAGCAAACCAGTCTCGATTCCCACTCCAGAGGTTTTATCCCAGCTGTTGCCTTGGTTCCCACTGGAACCTGTCCCAAGGCATAAAGAAGACCCAAAAAGCCTCCCAGCTCCAAGGATTGCCACTGGTACCCATTCCAAAAACACTGCACAGCAGGATGAAGGAGGATGGGAGTTCAGCCCAACTTAAGGTGTCTTAAAACAAAAAAAAAAAAAAAAAAGGGAAAAACTTCTATTAATCCAGCAAAATCAATGTTTAGCCTATGAAGGTTAACCCATTAAAAGATTAATCCAAAACCCCATGGATTCTCCCATTGTATTCCAGGTTCATGCTGACACAAAGGCTGGCCACTGTCTCCAGTGCCACATCCCAGGTCACCCCTCCCTTTGCATGGCACTGCCCAGCCCGGCTCTGCTGCCACCAGATGGGAAGGGAAGAGGCACCGAGCGAGGCCTCGGAGTCTGTGCCACGTCCTTGGGACGTGGTGGTGGCAGCAGGGACTCAGGGACACAGAGACTCAGGGACTTGGGGACTCAGGGCCAAGCTGAGCTCCTGCTGACGCTGGTGGCAACCCAGGACAACGCCAGGAGCCAGCCCAGGGCTGGCATTGGGAATGTGGCCCTGGATTCACTCCCCTTGTGGGAATCACCCTGGGTTTGAGGTGAAAAACAACCAGAGGGTGTCAGCAGGGATGTCCTTGGCTGGAACATCCCAAGCTCTCGGTTTGGGGGTGTTTTAGGGATGGCAGTGCCAGGGCTCCCTGTGGCTGGCACTGAGTGATCCATAGGGGCTGGAGAGGTGCTTCCCTTTGAGTATTTGTAGGACAACATCCCACAAAAAAACCCTCCAGACCCTTCATCCAGCCCTTCATCCACCCCTGGCACTGGGATGCTGGGAAGGAGCATCCCACCAGGATGGCATCCCCCAAAAAACCTCCAAACCCTTCATCCAGCCCCAGTTTGGCTGCCCCAGTAGCACTGGGATGCTGGGAAGGTGCATCCCACCAGGATGGCATCCCCCAGAAACCTCCAAACCCTTCATCCAGCCCCAGTTTGGCTGCCCCAGTGGCACTGGGATGCTGGGAAGGTGCATCCCACCACGATGACTCCACCACACTCCCCTGCTCCCTTCCATGTCCATGGGACACAGACAGGGAATCCTCAGTGCTGACCTCAAGAAGGCAAATCACTCCATGTGGGATGAGCTCCTGGAGTCCTGCACCTCCTGGCAGGTTCTCCTGGGGATTTGGAGCCTGCCTGCATCCCAAAAAGTCTCCAGCACACCCCAAAACCACTGTTATCCCTCTCCTGAGGTTGCTCCAGCACCAACAGCTCCCAGTCCCTCACACAGAGTTGGGATGAAGCAGGGCTGGGATCAAGGTGACAGCAGGATGGGAGTGGGAATGAGCCCAAGCTGGGAGGCAGAGCAGGGAGCTGCACCCCAAACCTGGGGTCTCCCCACGAGTGGCACAGCCAGCAGTGACATGGTGATGCCCCAATTGTTCCCACAGCACTTGGGGAGCAGAAGCAGCAGGACAGGGTGCTCCAGTCCTGTCCAGAGCCACGAGCTGCCCCACAGAGGGGCTGCAGGAGCAGCTGAAAGGCCTGAGAGGGATCAGGCTCTGAAACCCCCCCAGCCACAGCCCCAGCTCGGTGCCAGCCGCCCCCACAGCAGCAGCACAGCCCCGCTGGCGTCTCCCCAGGGTCACGGCCTCGCTCCTCCTGCTCTGTGCCAGCTGCAGGGATCCCACTCAGCCCTGGGAATCCCTGGCTGTTCCCTGCCCCTCCCAGCCCACCGACCTCCTGCTGAACTACAAATTCACCTCAGTGAGGGCTCAGCACTCTCCAAAAGGAGTCTCATCCCCTGGGGAGGGGAGAAGGCAGCTGGGCTGGGGGCTGCTGCCTGGAGGGAGGGATGCAGGTGGGCCAGGGGGATGCAGGTGGGCCAGGGGGATGCAGCTGGGCCAGGGGGATGCAGGTGTAGATGGGCCAGGGGGATGCAGGTGAGCCAGGGGGATGCAGGTGGGCCAGGGGGATGCAGGTGTAGATGGGCCAGGGGGATGCAGGTGTAGATGGGCCAGGGGGATGCAGCTGGGCCAGGGGGATGCAGCCAGCTGGGACAGCTGGAGCCTGCTGGAAGGGATTCAGGTGGGCTGAGGGGATGCAGCTCAAGGAAGGGGATTCAGCCAGGCCCAGGGGATGCAGGTGGGCTGAGGGGATGCTGCCTGCTGGAAGGGATGCAGCCAGGCCCGTGGGATGCAGCCTGCCACAAGGAATGCAGGTGGGCCGAAGGGATGCAGTCCAGGGAAAGGGATGCAGGCAGGGAGGCTGGGGGGATGGAGGCAGGCAGCAGGGGTGCAGGTGGGCCGATGGGATGCAGCCCGGTGGAAGGGATGCAGCTCAGCTGGAGCAGGAGCCGGGAGGAAGGGATGGGGCCAGGCCGGGGGATGCAGGAAGGGGGAGGGGATGCAGGTGGGCCGGGAGATCCAGGTGGGCCGGGAGATGGATGCAGGTGGGCCGGGGGATGGATGCAGGTGGGCCGGGGGATGGATGCAGGTGGGCCGGGAGATGCCGCCTGCCGGGCGGTGGAAGCCGGGGGAGGAACGCGGCCGGGCCGGGGGATGCCGGGGGATACCGGGAGGATACCGGGGGGATACCGGGGGGCTGCGGCCGTGGCCGGGCGGCCCCGGTGGGTGCCGGCAGCAGGGTTCGGGGGTCCCGGACCCACCTCGGGGCCACCTGCAGAGCGCGCAGCCTCACTCGGGCGCACCGCAGCGCCGCGGGGGAACCCGCCGCGGCCCGGGGGGGGTGGGGGGGAGACTGATGGGGGGGTGTTGATGTTGGGGGGGGTCGGCGGGCCCGTACCTCCAGGGTGCGGATCTCCTTCTGCGTGAGGTCGTTGGAGGCGGCGCACTTGGTGCGGAGCCCCTCCAGGTTGGAGATGCTGATGTCGATCATGTTCTGGACCAGCTCGCACTGCTGCAGCGCCTTCTGCAGACTCAGCTCCTGCTCCTCGCTCCTCGTCATGTTGTCCTCATCCATCGCTCGCCGCCCCCCCCCCCCGCCCGCCCGCCCGCCCGCCCTCCCCTCCGCCCGCCGCCGCCGCGGCCCCCCCGTTCGCTCGGCTCCGCTCGCCGGCCCCCGCCGCCGCTCAGCCCCGCTCGGCCGCGGCCCGCAGCATCGCGGTGCCCACCGAGCCGTCAGCGCGGCGCCGCCGCCGCTACCCCCCCCCCGGGCGCGGCGGGGCGGGGGCGGGGGCGGCGCGCTCCGGCTCCGCGGGGCCGCGCTCGCTGCGCGCCGCTCCGCGCGGGAACCCCCGCACACCCCCGGCCCGGCACCCCCGGGCCCGGCAGCGCCGCGGCATCCGCACCGCCCCCACAGCCACACACACATCGGCATCCTCAGCAGCACCCCCGCATCATCGTCAGCAACCCCCCCAACCTTATCAACACCCCCATCGTCATCAACACACCCCCCCAAGCTTATCAACATCCCTCAGCACCCCCGGTCACATCACCCCAACACCTCCCCATCCTCATCATCATCCCCCTCCTCATCAACATCCCCCAACCTTATCATCACCCCCAGCCCAAACACCCCCACACCCACCCCTCCCCATCCTCATCATCAGCCCCCCTCCATCAATATCCCCCCAACGTTATCATCACCCCCAATGCCATCACACCCACACCCACACCTCCCCATCCTCATCATCATCCTCCTCCTCATCAATATCCCCCCAACCGTATCATCACCCCCAGCCCCATCACACCCACACCTCCCCATCCTCATCATCATCCCCCTCCTCATCAACATCCCCCAACCTTATCATCACCCCCAGCCCAAACACCCCCACACCCACCCCTCCCCATCCTCATCATCACCCCCCCTCTATCAATATCCCCCCGACGTTATCATCACCCCCAGCCCCATCACACCCACACCTCCCCATCTTCATAACTACCCCCCCAATCAACATCCCCCCAACCTTATCATCACCCCCATCCCATCACCTTCCCATATCCTCATCCCCCCCTTGCCCACACCCCCATCCTCATCAACACCCCCATACCTTATCAACACCCCCATGGTCATCAACACACCCCTCAACCTTATCAACATCCCTCCAGCCTCATCACCCCCGCCTCTATCACCCTCATACCCCACACCTCCCCATCCTCATCATCACCTCCCCACCTTGCCCACACCCCCATCCTCATCAACAGCCCCCTACTTTATCAACACCCCCATCCTCATCACCCCCAACACCATCACCCCCATCACCTTTCCATCTTCATCGTCACCCCATCCTCATCACCCCCAGCTCCCTCGCAGCCCCCAGCCCCAGCACTTTCCCACCATCCCCACATCTCCTCATCCTCATCAGCACCCCCATTCTCAACACCACCCATCCCTATCCCCACCCACCCCATGCCCCAAACCCCCATATCTCTCTATTCTCATCACCATCCTTCCATCCCCATCCCCCATCCCCACACCTCCCCATCCTCATAAGAATTCCCCCATTCCCATCCCATCCCCCCATCCATGCTCATCCCAGTCCCTCTGACCCCAGGAATGGGACAGGAGGGGAGCACCAGGGGGGAAGAGGGCAGGGAGGATGGGGGGGGGGGGGGGGTGTGAAATGGGGGTCTGGGATAATGGGGGGGGGCTGTAAATGGGGGTCTGGGATAATGGGGGGGATGGAAATGGGGGTCTGGGATAATTGGGGGGTCTGGGGTAATGGGGAGTAAATGAGGAAGGGGGGGGCTTGGACATTGGGGGGCTGGGGAAATGAGGGGGGGCTGGAAATGGGGGTGGGGGCATTGGGATTATAATGGGGGCTGGGGAATGTGGGGGACCTGAGGTAATGGGGGAAAATGGGGCATTGTGGGGGCTGGGGCAGAGATGGAGGATGGAAATGGGGGGCTCTGGGGAAATGGGAAGGTCTGGGGCACTGTGGGGGATGTGGGGCACTGGAGGGGGCATTGGAGGGTCTGGGGCACTGGGGATTCCTGCTCTGGGGCAATGGAGGCCAAGCCTGGCCAACACTCAGGAATTATTCCAGAGAGACAGAGCCAGGATGATGCTCCCAGAGCCTTCACCTGCTCCAGGCACAGCGTCCTCAGAGCTGTGACCTCCCTGCCTCTGGATGTGTGACTTCATTCCCAGCTGGCATCCCTGTCCCAGCCCCTCCCAGCTCTGGGGAGCACAAAGCCAAATTCCCAACGGCTCACAGTGGTCGAGTCCCTCCGAGTTGGGATGTGGCTAAAAAAGCTGGAAATCTGCTGATTTTTGCCTTTCTTTTTAAATTTTTAAATCAGGACTTTTAATTTCCAGGCTCATCTCCAAGCTGGGATGTCCCTTTTCTGTCCTGTCCCCAAGGCTGGCTATGACATCAAATACTGCCAGGGAAGGGAAGGGAAGGGAAGGGAAGGGAAGGGAAGGGAAGGGAAGGGAAGGGAAGGGAAGGGAAGGGAAGGGAAGGGAAGGGAAGGGAAGGGAAGGGAAGGGAAGGGAGGAGGGAAGGGAAGGGAAGGGAAGGGAAGGGAAGGGAAGGGAAATATGAAATAAATTGCAAGCAGGGAGACTCCACTGGGATAAAAGCACCCATCCCAAAAGCCTGCAGCTGCAGGGATTTTGGATGTTCACCAAACCTCATCCTTCCCAAAAATCCCTACAGCAGCCTGTGGGATAGCTCCCATGCTTGGAGCTGGCCATGGTCTGAGAGATGGATGAACATTCCAGGCAGTGGGAATGGCACAATCAGTCCATATAAAAATATCTGGTAATATTTTAATTGACTTCTCTGGGCTTTCTCCATGAGAAAAGAGTTTGGAGTGACTCAGAGTCTCCAAACTGGGTTAATGTTCCCTCAGTGCCAAAGGTGCTCTTCCAGGCACGACATCCTGCTGGAAGGGAGAGAGAATGCCCTGGCATGGCCACTCCACCCCAGCAAACCAACACCACTGCACCACACCAGGGGTTTCCCACCAAATTCCCCCCAAACCCCCCCACATCAATGAGGGTTCATTGCTCCAGCTCGGGGTGAGCTGCTCCACAGGAGCCTTTGGGTATCAGCATTGGGATTTCCTGGTTATTAATATGGCAAAGAACCTCTTCAGCTCCACATGGGGTGGGAGCATCCCTGGGATTTCAGCTCTCAAGGAGCACCTGTTTAATCCCTGTGGAAGAGCATCTCTGTCCCATCACCTCTGTCCTGTCACCCCTGTCACCATCATCTCTGTCCCTTCAACCGTGTCACCATCATCCCTGTCACCATCACCTCTGTCCCATCACATCTGTCACCATCACCTCTGTCCCATCACCTCTGTCCCATCACCTCTGTCGTCATCCCTGTCCTATCATCCCTGTCCCCATCATCCCTGTCACCATCATCCCTGTCACCATCATCCATCTCATCATCATCTCTGTCACCACCATCCTGTCCCATCATCTCTGTCCCATCACCTCTGTCATCATTTCTGTCACCATCATCTCTGTCCTATCATCCCTGTCCCATCAACCCTGTCACCACCTCTGTCACCATCATGCCTGCCCCATCATCTGTCTCCTCATCTCCATCACCATCATTCCTGTCACCATCCCCCTGTCCCATCATCCCTGTCCCCCATCACCTCTGTCCCCATCACCTTTGTCCCATCATCCCTGTCCCATCAACACTGTCACCACCATGCCTGTCCCATCTTCCCTGTCCCCCATCACCTCTGTCCCCATCAGCTCTGTCCCCACCACCTCTGCCCCCTCTTCCCTGTCCCACCACCACCTCTGTCCCCTCATCTCCAGCCAGGAGGGAAATCAGAGCCATCCCAAGGGCATGCACCCATCAGTTGAACCCCATTAAACAACACCCCAAAGATTTTCCCTGCTCTGGAGCCCGGGATTTATTAATGATGGGGAAACACCTGGAAAAATCCAGTTAGGAGGAAAAGAGCCTGCCCCAGGTGAAGGCAGGTCCAGGGGGAGAGCAGCAGCTCTGGATCCAGGACGTGCAGGAAAATCCCAGCTCCCGGCTGTTCCCAGGTGCCTGGGAAGGACCTGGAGGCTCGGAAGGGAAGGGCCATCTGTCACGGCTGTCACGTGCCCAGAGGGACAGCTGAGGCTGCTGCCCTCATCCTCCAGCTCCTGCTTTCCTTTATGGGGCTGCAAAGGAAAAAAAGGGGGAAAAACCGCAGGAAAGCAGCTGCCCTCCAGCAGATTTTTGGGCTTTTATAGGATCAAGCCTGGAGCTCTTGAAGATTTTTGGGCTTTTATAGGATCAAGCCTGGAGCTCTTGATGTTTTCACTTCCCTTGTCAGTAATAGCATTTTTCTAGGGATTTTTTTCTGCCTGCCCTGTACCTCTACTTCCCAATGGATTGCCTCCCATCCTCACTCCAACTGTGTTTTCCCAACCAGTGCCTCTCACTCCTGCCTGCTTTCCTTTCTGAAGCATCGCTCCAGCAGCCTGGGCTGATTCTCTCCTCTAAGCTACTTCTCTAAAGGAGGCTCCGGGGCTTTTCCAGAGACACTGGGAAGCAGCAGGGACAGGGATAAAGGTGTTTTGTGCTGGCAGCCACCTCTGGAGTTTGCTGCTCCTGTTGCACTGGGAGGATCCCAGATCCCTATCCTCAGGTGTCCCTGCACCCAAAGGTGCCCCTCCCATCCCATCGGTGTTTCAGGGGCAGGGGCACCGTGCTTTCCCAAAACCTTGATCCATCAATTCCTGCTGTCGTGATTTCCCCAGGATTGCTGGTGAACACCAGCACCGTGCTCTTCCCACAATCACAGAATCATGGAATGGCTTGGGTTGGAAGGGACCTTAAAGGTCACCTCGTTTCACGCCCTGCCATGGGCAGGGGCAGCAGGATGGGGAATTCTCCCTCTCCACTCAGGTGAGATCCCAATGGGAACACTGGGGCACAGAACAGGAGGGACCTGGAGCTGCTGGGGAGAGTCCAGAGGAGGCACCAGAGATGCTCCAAGGGCTGGAGCCAGGCTGGGAGAGCTGGGGGTGCTCACCTGGAGAGGAGAAGGCTCCAG